TTCGGGTAACTTTGATCTTATTAAAAATCATAATTTTTTTATTTTTCTGTGTTCTAGGTTGATTTTTAATAAGATCAAAGTTACCCGAAATTGCATCTTTCAAGGAATCAATAATTAAGCTAAACAAATTTGCGTTATTTTGCGAAATCAAGTTTACTCATAATCTTAATATGAGTGAATCTATCATATAAACAGATGGCATCGCAGTTAGTTTTCATCATATCAAACTTATCTACGAATTTTACGCGGAGTAGAAATAAAAAATCTACCTTTACAGTTTTTGACTCAGGGTGGGACCGGTTTTCTGACCAATGGGACCCGGACGCGAAAAACTGATCGCATATTCGGGTTGCTGGTTCCCGGCGACCTATAGGAAAGTGTCGTGAAAAGACAGAAAGCTGTTAAAGTATGTGAGCCACTACCCTTGTATTCTTTTTAGCCGGACACATGGAAACGTTCAAATTTTTGAATGCTTTTCCCATGAGCCTCATTGTAGTTGAGGGAATGAGACGGATCCTGAAGGGATTACTGAACAGCTCACGAGTGAAAGAAAGGGAGGGAACTATCGGTATAGATCAGAATCATATACTCTTCGTATAATTAGAAGAAATGTATCAAAACAAATTAACGAAACCCTGCCGATTTAATATGAAATGTGGGAAACCTTCAGATAACGTTGGAACCTATGAGCCGTTTCTGTAAAATGTACTAAGAATGGAACCGTCTGCACTTTTGAGCGAGTTGGACGACCGGGTCGAGTGGAAATGATCACATTCGCTGAGAAACTAACGAGTTTAAAATATGAACTGCTGATGGCTTACTTTGACAGAGATATTCAATTTTTAAGTTCCGTACTAATTGAGTGCAGAAACATGATACTACATTAAATATTCATATCAGCTTTTAAGATAATCATCAGATTTGTTAGAAAGTACGTTTCCAAGATCGAGATCAGCTTTATTGACGCAATTTAGACTACTTTAGATACGATTACTGCTGAGGTTCAATAGAGTCGAGTAGAAGATATATCGAGTATCGTATACGAAAACTCATCATTTATCCATAGTTTTGACTTTATTGTGCAAGAAGGTGATAAGCTATTGCAAGTAACATTTCAAAAAATCTACTATAAATGAAGATGAAGATCCTCAATCAAGTGAAAATAACAAAGATGTCGTTTGCACCAGGCACAAGTTAGAAGAGTTCGTTCTTCACAACGAGTAACTGAACAATAGAAATCATAAAATTTAAAACTGACACCTTTTGGTTTCTTGACTTCACCAACTGTTTCGTTGAGTGTTTTAGCTTCCACGAATCCAGACTTGATGAGATTTTTGAATTCTGGAGCCGATAATTGATTATGAATGATAGAGTGCATATTAATAAAATATTCACGATCGTTCAAGTTCATTTCTGTTCGGTTATTTTGCTCATAATGTTCAATTTTCTGATGAATAATTCGCCACGAACGAAATAATGATAGATCTTGCGGTTGAATATGGCCAGTAGATCCTTGAGGAAATAGGGTGTGGGTGTAGGTACTACTCTTAAATTTTGATAATTCTAAAATTCCAATAATTCTGATTATTCTAAAATTCCAATAATCCTGATTATTCTAATAATTCTATTGTTCTCATTATTCGAATAATTCTATTGTTCTGATTATTCCAATAATTCTGATTATTCTAAAATTCCAATAATTCTGATTATTCTAATAATTCTATTGTTCTGATTATTCTGATTATTCTAATAATTCGAGGATTCTCATTATTCGAATAATTTTATTGTTCTGATTTGTTCCAATAATTCTAAAATTCTCATTATCCTATTATTCTTGAGATGACCCGAGTGAGGTCAGAATTCCAAAAGTTCGATGATACGAGAACCGTGAAAGATAGAATCGTTAAGTATAAAAGTTGATTATAAATATTATTATTCTAGAATTTTATGAGAATTCTAGAATTTTGGAATAATGACAGGGCTCACTTTTATACTTAACGATTCTATCTTTCACGGTTCTCCTATCATCGAACTTTTGGAATTCTGACCTCACTCGGGTCATCTCAAGAATAATAGAATAATGAGAATTT